AGTGAATGAATACGCAATGAAAGGGCTGGATAAGATGGAGGAGAAGCTGCCTATTCTTCAACGGCCAGCGGAAAAGGTCAGAAAGGAATTTTGCCCAAAACATTCTGACCCATTTTTGTCCTAGTTGGTGTGGCTGGTGATTATAGTCATGACTTCAAATGATGGTTACAAAATAGTAAAGACACAATTTGGGGATACCGGTTGCTTCCAAAGCATTTTTTTTCCATGTAGTAAACGATGGAAATTGCCGATATTGAAAATGCACCACAATAAGCGAAATCACTTCACTATTCCATCAAGGTCATCTTGCAACATTACCCTAAAAAAAAAATTGAGGTACAATTTTTGATTTGGACAAAAAAAAAAAAAAAACGCATCAGAGGTGTTTGTGAATATTGCCTCTGCAACTTGTAGAAATAGTAATTGGGAAGCAATAACAAAACCTCACTTGTTAGCTGTAGCAAAAAGGATACGCATGTGGTGTCGACTTACATATACACGCATATGATCACAAAAATAAAATACAGTTTATCAATCAACACTTTTGTTGACTTCCCTCCTTTTGTGTTCCTATTATGGTGCAACTGCAGAATAGGATGTGGTGGCACCCCTATTAGCTGCATAGCACACGCCCTCTGCATATTGGTCTGTAATGTTCCACCCCGACAACCCCGGGGAATTTCATGGAATCTTCGAGCCCCCCCCCCACCCGCGTTTAAAATACACGTGACATGACATTATTTTCCTCTCTTCTTTCAGGTGGTGTCAGACACACTCGGGATGGTGTGCCAGTCGGTGACGGGAGCAAAAGATGCCGTGGTCGGGGTTGTGATGGGCGGTGTGGAGAAGACCCGGGCCGCTGTCAGTGAAGGCATCAGCACCGTAATGGGCACCAGCGTGGGCCAGATGGTCAGCAGCGGCATGGGCCTGGCCCTCACTCGTTCCGAGGACTGGGTGGAGCAGAACCTGCCACTCACCGAGAGAGAGTTGGGTGGGTACTCAGTGGAACGGGTCTGTGGAAGACCGGGGGATGGGGGCGGGTTTTGACATACTTTCAGATAGCGCACATGCCGGCGTATCCGGACTTTCATATCGGCGCAAGGCTCGCGATACTGGCGCAACCGATGATTTAGATTGAGGCTCAGGCACAGATTATGACAGCATGTGAAAGTTTTGTCTACTTTTCGTAATCTCCTTCAATCTTGTTTGTCCAGCTGCCGTGGCTGAACCCAACACTTCCCGAGGGACGATCTCATCAGCCGGCCCCAGTTACTTTGTCCGTCTGGGCAACCTCTCGACCAAAGTGCGGGAGCGAGCCCTTCAGCAATCTCTGGTGCGCGCACGACGAGCCAGAGAAGCCACGCACGCGGCGGTGACCCAGATGACCAGCACGCTGGACCTGCTGGAGACGGCCCGTACGAGTATGGCTTCGGGCAGCAACCAAATAGGGGGCGCAATTGAGCAACTGCAGCAGCGCTGGACCGAGTGGAGCCAGAAGCAACCCGGAAATGGGCAAGATGAATCTGATGGGAGCCAGAATGAGGCGGAGGTCAGTACTTTTAAAAGAACCTGGTTCATCTTATACTTTGAAAGATCTAGTACACCTTAAGATGTTTACTGTCCTACTTAAGATATCTTAGAAATGTAATTGTAATATTGAATCTATTGATCGCTGGGTTGAACCATATCTCCGCTGTCCTTGCTTTCCACAGCGGTTGGAGTGGCGCGTGCTCTCCATGGTGCGAGGTCTGAGCGAGCAGCTGCGCTCGGCAAGCTCCAACGTGGTGTCGAGCGCTCAGGGACTGCCAGGAGCCGTGCAGGAGCAGCTGACCAGAGCGAGACGCTCGGCCGACGAGCTGCAAGCCTCTCTGTTGGACACCAGCGCCCTCACGCCCCTCCTTCTGGAGGGGAGCCGTCACCACTTGACCCAAGTAGGAATTTCCCCCACCGAATCGGTTTGAATAAAAATTGGATCGTGCCATTTGGAAAACGTAATCGTATCCTTTTGCCCAATTTTTCAAGGTTCAACAGTCTCTGGATGGCGTCACGGAGTATTTGCTCAACAACACGCCACTCAACTGGCTCGTGGGACCCTTTGCACCCATGGTCACGGAAAGGATGGCGGAAGTGACGCAGCCGGCCGGGTCGCCCTAGCAAATTTCAAAAGCTTTTTCAGTTGTGTTTTATTTTTTTGCATTTTCAATGGCTGTATTACATAGCAGTGATGAACATGAATAATTAACACTGCCGAAGATGTTTTGAATTGCCTGTATGAATACTAATAACCCTAAATATAACCCAAACTGCGATCCCACAACATTGTAATCATTTCAAACTCAATTTACAGAATTACACTTCAAATTAAATGCCTGAAATGGACAGAGGGATAACAAATACATGAATTTGGGGGGGGGGGGTTAAAGTGGACCCGACTATTTGTGGGTGATTAGGGCGGATTAATTCACAATCAAAGATTTGATTGTCAATAGATACCACAAGATGGCAGCAAAGTACATTTTCTATTAGGCAAAGCAATAGCCTGACTCAATGAAGCTTCTTGCTCGCCTCAACACAGTCCCCTGACCTCAAGATGCCACAGCAAAATACTTTTTTAAAAATATATATGTTAGATGAGTCTATCAAAAACTAAATGCGGGTTGTAATGTCACTGAAGACTTCAAGCCCAACGTGACAGGGTGGACAGCAATTTCAGGGACACGTGAAACTCTTCCATATGACCATGAAAAATGGAATCCACATCATTTTCTGAACTGACTTGTTGGCAATAAAACCATGTTGCTGTTTTTCATGAATTACAGTACACACTAGTTAGCAGTGTGTGTGTGTGACACCAAAATCATGTCCTCCCATGCAAAATGTTATACAATGAAGAAAATGTATTTCAAGAAACTTATCACTGTACTGGTATACCTGCAAATGTTTGATCACTTGTCATATAAACCTTTCCCATTCTTACAACACGTAAAATACGACAACGGAAACCAAGGACTGTTGGCACAGCTGAAGCGGTACGTCACCAAAAATGGGAACAAATTCCACCGACAAAGCTTCAACAGGAAGGTGCTATGGTTGGGTGTAAAAAGGAGCTTCCCTGCGTTGCTCAGTCATTCACGAACAAAGATGGGGCGAGGTTCCCCTTTTTGTGAAAGGCGGTGTGAGAAAATAGTCCAACAGTTTAAGGATAACGTTCCCCAACATACAATTGCAAGCAATTTAGAGATGTCATCATCCACGGTCCATAATGTCATCAACAGGTTCAGAGAATCTAGAGAAATAACTGCGTGCAGGTGGCAAGGCCGAACACCAACATTGAAAGCCCGTGACCTTTGATCTCTCAGGTGGAACCGCATCAAGAACCGACACCTGTGTGTTAAGGATATCACCACATGAGTTTAGGAACACTTCAGGAAACCACTGTCAGTATATGCAGCTAAGTGCAACTTAAACTACTGTGCAAAGCGAAAACCATTTATCAACAACACAGCTGGCTTCTCTGGGTTCATCTGTGCAAGTTGGCAAAAAGCACACCTTGTAACCGTTTGCTTTATGCTGTTTTTTTTTTTTCAGGTGATGTGAATAAATATCGGTGAAGGAGATGCGTGTTTTTGTAGTTAACTGTTCTGTTGTTGACTTTTTGTGTTGCTGGGGGATGACGTCATGCTGGTTGTTTCCAATGTCGGGAGCTCGCGCACTAGCGTAGGAGGCCGCTCGGCGTATAACTTCTCCCGATAAAAATTCAACCCCAAGGTCGTCGACAGCCGCCGGTACCGTGACGCCCAGGTACCTGCCGTCCTGCGCGACCCGCGCGAGCGAGTCCTCGTTCGGCGTGAATGTTCGTTTGCTCGATGTCTACCGCAGACCTTGATATTGTCTGGCCGCTTACGTTAGCATCCGAGCTAACGTTCGCTTACGTTAGCATCCGAGCTAACGCGAGCCGGCGGCTAACACTTGGCTTTTGTTCGATTTTCGACACGGGCAATTTACGGAGGGCATTCTGCCTCCCTTCTCTTACTGCCGCCATTCATCCGCGATAAGAAACCACCGAGTGACATATCAGATTTTAAAATGGATCTTTTTTTCGGCGGTGCTTGTTTGCTTTGTGCAATGCTCCCCGCAGCTTGACAATTGTTTCCTGCTGCCGACTAAACTCAAAAGCGCTCATCCACACAGGCTTATCTTAAAAAGCGCAGATGATTTGGAACCTTTTTTTGCTCCTGTAATGCATTTTAAGACACCGGTGAATATGTTGTGATGGTTCTGTGTTGCTTTTGTTGTTTTTGAAGCGACCTGAAGCGACACTGTAAATCGTTTTTGTTCAACTTGTTCGCAATTGGTAGGTTTTCATCAAAATATCCTGTGGCGTTTTCATCAAGAAAACACAATGTATGGTAACATAAGATGTATTTTTTTTATTAATGCACTCGATTCATGAGCCACCAGCTAATAATATCGAACTTTTGATGCAAAGTAACCATGGTTCAGTTCAAATTAGTGCATACACTTGACACTTGAGGTGAATGCTTACATTTTTAATGTAAGAAAAAACAGTATGACCACAAAATTAGCATTTCCTTTTCGAACGTACACATGCTTTTCGATTTCGAAGCATCGCTACTAGCTAACGTCAACCCCCGTTGAGTCCCGATAAGTGCACAAACTTAAGACTTAAGGCAAATCCTGACTGTTTTACTGAACTAAAAAAAACACACAAAAATCTAGATGACCATTTCCTTGAACGCAGTCTCACTTTTCATTTGGTGGTGCCGCTACGTAGGCTAATATTATCTTTTACTTGACGAAAAATAACCCCGGTTGAGTTCCAAAAAGACTTTAGGGTGAAGATAGATGAAAAATTCGCGAATATTTACCCATTATGGTTTACGGCCCCCCGTCGAGTAAGCAACTTGTTCGAAAGTGCCTTCGCGATAACGCGAGTCCCGAACCCCATAACGAAGAGTCGATTTACGTTCTGTTTAATTCACAGTCCTTTTATTCGTTTCAATCAGAAGGCTTGTACTTTGTAGCGAGGCAACGACGTGTTCGTTTTCGCAGGCAGGTTCGAGTTTTGTCCCGGCTTAAATAAAACAAACCTACTAAAAAAAAAAAAAAAAAACAATTAGCTCGTTGCGTGTTGGTGACGTCATTTAGAGTCTTGTAGGTGAACTCGACTCATTTTTTTTTCCTGCCCCTTTTGGGTCAAGTGTACTCTATGATAAAGCACGCGGCCCGGATGACACAGAGAACGAGGTAAAGTGCGAACGTGTGGAGCGCCGCTGACCAACAGGACAGACAGTTCGCATCCCGCTGCACAGTCGCACAACGCGGTACACATGTGTGCCCGTGCGTGGGAGGGGGTCCGTCAATTAGCAGTGCGAACTTCACCCTGGCATACGCGTCGGAAAATTTGCATTGCTCACTATGTAGACACTGTCCAAGTGGAGTGTTTTCACTCTGTGCAGACCCCCAACCACACACACACACACACACACACACACACCCACTCACTCAGAGTCTTCTGTCGTTCAAGATTGTTCCGTGTAAGTGGACCTTGGAGTTGTTAGTGTTCCAACAACCCCAAAGCCCAAGTCTCCTCATTCCTTTACTCGGCGTTGATCACCTCGACTAACTGTTGCACCCTCACCCTCTCTGTTGGAGCATGGCTCAAGAGACCAATCAGACCCAGGTGCCAATGCTTTGCACGATGGGATGCGGTTTCTACGGTAACCCCCGCAACAACGGCATGTGCTCGGTCTGCTACAAGGAACACCTACAGAGACAACAGGGAGGGGGGAGATCCAGTCCCCCGGGGGAGAAAGGTAGGATGAAGCGAAGAGGCGTGCTTGTGAATGCAGGAGAAAAAAAAAAAAAGCCCACCATAGGGTCCCATACGACCTGAGGCCGATAGAACACGTTACAGGCAATTTTTCAATAAAAGTATCCGTTGATGCTAATTGTGTCCACCGGATGGCAAACTGATGATGAAATTGGCGTTATTTAAGGTTTGACGCCTGGTATTGCTGGATGTGTGAAGGCTTAAAGATGGCAAGTTTCAGGTGCAGAGTAGGCCTACAAAATGCTGCCGTGCCACCTTCACACAAATAAAAGTTTTCCCAAATGTCAATAGAAAAGGTACAAGCAAGCTTCATTCACAATGAAGTGGGGCGGCGGAAGTCTAAATATCCAAAGAAAGTTTCTTTATTCGTCATCACTTATGCTTCAGACGTCAGTGGAATATTGTCAGCCAGAATGAACTTTTGAACTTTAATCGGCAAAGCGACACTTTACAGAATGGAGCGATTACTGCAGCGTCATAGTTGGACAAGCAAGAAGAGCAACAATACATTTGTAGTAAATACAAAACATTTAGCGCAATTAAATGAATTGGATAATTTTCCAACGACCAAGTTCACAGCTTCAGACGGCATTAGCGAAGAAGCATCACATGCTCAGCAAAGTGACGTGAAATGGAGACTTTCTCACCCCCCCCCCCAATGCAGCCGCAACATCGCCGTCGGGGATGCCGGGACCCGCTGATGTCGTTCCAGAGAGCGCAGCCCCCGCGCCCAGCACAGAGGCGGCAGGGCGGACTTCACCCGACGAACCAACATCCAGGTGGGCTCCACGTCATGGCCGCTGCATCCCACCCTCCTTTGTTCAAAATCAGCAACTTTCAGAGCTTCTTAGGGGTCGACAGAGGGAGGGGTTACATTTCAACCACAGCTCCAAATGATTAATCTCAAAAACAAATCATTTGGTTCCAGGAAAAAACAAAGCACACACAGGCGGCCAACTCTCCGCATGCCTTTGTTGACACCCATGTCACTCACCAAGCCTGGCCCCACCATTTAAAACATATTCACTCAAATCACAGATACCACAGTGGACCAACACGACGATCGTGGATATTACATGATCGTCCCATGCACGCGATTTAAAAATGCTAAATCAATTGGAAGCAAAAAGTTATATTTTCCAAAATCAGGTTAGAATATCAAGGTTAAAAAAAGGCTCATTTAAAAGTCATATTTAAAAAAAAAGAAACTTTATTCTTGTAATATTACACCTTTTTATTCTGGGGTAAAAAATGCCTTTATTGTCTCAACCATGAGGCGGCGTTCTCAAAGAAAAACGAGGCATTTTAAACGTGTATTTTGCCATTGTTCCGTTGATGTAGTGTCAGTCCTGGCTCTGCCAGTCCAGTCACTCAACAGATGACGGCCATGAGCATCTCCCAGGACTCGGCGGCTGTCGACTCGGATCGAGCCGAGGCTGATGATGCCGAAGAGGAGGAATCGTCTGGCACCTCGGGTACGAATCTGGGAACATTTGCAAGTTTTCGTTGGTTTGTTCTGTGCACGCTCAGCGCTGCTGTTTTTCACTCATTCCGTAACACCCACGAGGTCACCAAAACAACAGCTAATAGGGAAGTAGCAAGGGTTAACAAACATGAACAATAGTATAAGGCGTAAGTAACCCTTCCCCCGCCACATTATCAGTACGGTATACGCGCATTTTGATGTTGCGCCATAGCTAGCTTTCAAGTTGACACTTGTATTCGACTTCCTTGCTTTTGGAATTTTGTGCCCTGCGCCGGAAAAATGACAGTTGACCCCCGGTGTCTGAACAGAGCCAGCGGGAGAAGCTGCGCAGACCTCTGATGGCGAGCAGACTCCTGATAAGAACAAGAAAAAGAACCGCTGTTTTTCTTGCCGGAAGAAAGTTGGACTCACCGGTAAGACTGCACTTTAATTTTAGTTTTTGCGCCTTTTCTCAGATAGTCGTGGAAATAAATATACAGTGAAACTCGCGTTATTTGTCCCAGATGTAGAAAAAGCAAAAAAAAAAAAGTGATTTCACCGATCACATTTTTTGTCAATACCGTATTTTCCGATGCGCCTTGTGTATGGTCATTGCGGTAATATATCGACCCCAAAATGGCTCCTTGCTCGAGACGTGCTGACAACGCAGAGTTCAAACTTAAGGCGATCGGTTATGCAGTCGAACACGGAAATAGAGCAGCGGCAAGAGAGTTCAATGGTAACGAGTCAAGGTTATAACTTGCTGTTGGTTAAGTGAACTGTCTCGCTGCTTTATTCAATAAGGTTTACTGACATCTGATCGTTCTGTTGGCGTTTCCTTGAGCGTAGCTCCATCTAGTGGATGCACTGTAGATTGCGTCTTATAATGCTGTGTGCCCAACGTATGAAAAAAAATGACAAAACAGGCCATTCATTGAAGGTGCGCCTCATAATCCAGTGCGCCTTTTAGTGTGGAAAATACGGTACGTCTTCTCATGGGATGGCCTTTTTGTATGATAAATCTGATTTTGTTGTCATACAGAATAAAGTTATCGCTTGTCTTTGTTAAAAAAAATAGTTGGGAAGAGGACCTTGAAAAAATTACTTCCATATGAGTCGTGCTTTTTTTGGGGGGGTGGCGTGCCAGATTGTTGAAATGTGGGTAAAAATATACGCCTCAAAATTCAAATATCCCGCCATTGGAAACATCTCAGCCTGTGGCCTTGGTGTTTCTCGGTTGTCCGCAGGTTTCGACTGCCGCTGCGGCAACCTCTTCTGTGCCATCCACCGTTACTCCGACAAACATGACTGTCCCTACGATTACCGGAGCGCCGCCGCCGCCCGCATACGCAAGGAGAACCCCATCGTGGTGGCCGAGAAAATCCAAAAGTTATGAAGACTCGACGACGACCACCACCGCCGCGACGACGACGCGCGCCACGCCTCTCGCTTGACAATTGGCAACAACGGTGACACCCGATATCACGGCTTCGTTCGTTCATGGCGATCTTAAAAGCCGGGCAAGGGCGGGGCACTCGCAGCCACTGTTCAGACACTTTCCCCTTTACTAGCATCTCCACTAGTGACTGAGTCTTTTCTCGATGATTGTGTTTGTATGCGTGTGTGTGTGTGTGTGTGTGTGTGTGTGTGTGTGTGTGTGTGTGTGTGTGTGTGTGGGAGAAGAGCGGCAGGGGCTCGGACATGCTGCGGGGACGGGAGGCGTTTAAATTTCCTTGTTGTTGTCGTCGGGGCGGGGTCTTTAATTTCTCATCCCATCCTTGTGAAAAAAGAAGAATGGATCATGAGGTGGATTGGCCACCAACCAGGGAGCTCAGCGAGACCTTGTTAAGGGCTTCGGATTCTCTTCTCCACTCGTAGAAATGATGTCAACTTCTCCGATAATTTTTTTTTTTTTTACACCCCCCCCCTCCCCCCTTCCAGCCTCGCCGCCCTCTCCCAACTTTCTCAATCACCACACTATGGACTTTTCCCAGCATTTTCCAGCAGCGTCTCTCTTTGATATCTTGACTTGTATTGGGTGCATGAACGGGAGGGCGGGGCTAACTTGACTTAACCGAGTGATTGAATATGTTTATTTTTATTTTTTCCTGTTTTAATGAGCGTATGACTTCAGAAGATCTATATTAATATATTGTAGTTAGCTTGTGTGATTGCATTCTATTTATTTTTTATCATTCTGGTGGGCCCGCCGGAGGATGGGCAGCATGTGTCGAGCAAATCGTACGCGATTTGCACTCATCTTGATTATTCGGTATGTAGAACGGGAAAGTGGGGGGGGGGGGGGGGGCAAGCGGCCCCAGTAAAGGCAAAAAAAAAAAAAGGTCATTTGGGATGGACTGAGCCTCTTTCACACAAAGCCCAAAAATGTGTCCTTAACTCACACCAACTCGTTCAACATCCCGACTTAACACATAATCACATTGGCGCCCGTTTTGTCTTCATCTGCAACATAGACAGCTGCGTTTACAAAAGTTCTGAAGCACTACTTACAGAACATTAGGGATGTTTGGCTTTTGGGACTTTCTTTTGGGACTTTCAGGAGGTGAACTTCCATTTGAGCTCAGCTTTTTTTGGTCCAGCAAGCGGTTTTCTCCAAACAAGGAGCTGAATGGCAAAATTCACAACCATGAACACTTTCAAGGGCGACGACTTGCATTCCTCACCCGTGATTCCACTTTCAAGCGACAGAGCTACAGGGGGACTGGAAGTGTCACAGAAAGGCATAGATGTGGACATCCTTGGAAAGCTTCACGTCTTTGTTCATTTTGCCCGTTTAGTTTCTTGTTATAGAACAGCAAAAAAAAAATGTCGCATTAACCCAATAACTTAACCTGGGGATGCAGCTTGCAATTATTTTAATTGATTAATCTCGTCTTTTTTTTAACTTGATGTATGCAATAAAATAATATCAATGATTTTACTCCAATAAAATAATTTAAATGATTTTATTCGCAACTTGAATTTTATTTCAAATTAAAAGCAAAAATTCAACAGACCTAAATGGATTGTGATGCAGTTACCGGTTTGGTCCGAAATATCTCAGAAAATGAGCAGACATGTCGTTTTTGAAAGTAGAGGCTGATATTTGCAAATGTTTTGTTCATCCTGCTTTCATGGAGAACTGCAGGAATTTGAGCATATTTAATGTTGAGAAGCTGAAATTCTGAATATTTTGACTTTTTTTTGTGTGTGTGAATCAATGGCTCTGAACAATGGATTCATCAGAAAGTTGTCAATTCATTGCTGCATTTGCAGATTGAAAATTCTGCCGACTAAAGTTCAGCTGTTCAAGTAAAAGAAAAATATTGCCGCCACGTAAAATTCAGGTAGAGTCAAAAAACGATGGAAAGGTTTGACAAAAAATATTTTCAAGGGGTGAAAGGACCGAAAGAGGCGTGTGGCCCACCTGCTCCATTTTGTTCAGCATCTGGGGGTTGTTTTCACTTTGTTTAATTCTTAAAGCCCCTTTTTTCATTTTTTTTTCCCAGACACTGGGTGAAACACCAGCAGACCACTGACACGCTGAATGAAAACTGACCCGACTTGCAAAACAAAAGTGCTACAAATGGGCAACTCACAAAAAGTTCGCGATAGACTTTCAGGTGAACATTTCATAAGAATCTAAAATGCACTCTTACAGGTTAAGCTAATTCGAACTGTTTCAGAATTTTGTATTTTTTTTTTTGTGCTCTCTGAATTTTTTACCATTCAAGCTCCTCGCCGGAGAACACCAACATGTCCAAAAAAAGGAATGCAGCATCGAACAGTTGGGGATGTTGAAAATTCCATTTTAAAATCACCTCCATAAGTTCTAGTGCATTTCCAGGTCATCTGGACACCCCCCCCCACCCCCAAAAGCCTAATATGCCAAACGTTTTGTGAATCGTGTCTGTGTGTGCTTGTAAGCCCAAGTCGACCCACTCCAACTGCTTCTCGAAAGCCAGAAACAATAATGAGAATATGCATGTGTGCTGCCTAACCGATTATACGTTACAGTTTTGTAGCCACAATGCCTGGCTTGCAAACCGGAGGTCCAATTGAACAAGTGCACCCCCACCACCCCTTCCAAATGTAAATACAATATGACTCGTGTTCATGTAATTACAGGACAGAAAAAGATGTGAGGGTTCAAGGACTAGTGCATTTAAGTGCTTTGCAAAATGATCCAGTTCCAAGGATTCTTTCTTGCAGGCCACGTTGTATTCGTAGTATGACACCGTATCCTCCATCCAGGCTTTTATTTTTATTCCATTTGTAGCATCGTGCTGTTACTGCCGTTTGAAGAGATGGAAAAGGTGATTTTCTTTTTTTTTCTCGGGAAAAAGGGGAGGGGGTGCAGTTCTTCTACGCTAAATAACATTGAAGGGACCAGCGCAATCTGCTATTGTTGGATGACAGGCCTTTTGTCACCATTCCCGAGCAAAGTGTCATGTCGAGGACATTTGGATTCTAATCGAGGCCTCTTCCAAGTTAAGATTTAGGTAGCGCTTTCAACCGTGGTGGATGATTTCTCTCCGTTTTTAATTTTTTTCTCCCAAATAAAGAGTCGATTGAATGTAAACCCAATTCATTTTATACCTGAATCACTCTTAAGCGCTGATATTGACTGTTGGGAGCAAGGAATGGAAGCCTGAAGCGGAGTGATTGTTAGCTAGCTAATCTTAATATCCTCCCTTAGTTGATTTACAATTCTGTCTTGAACGCGAGAACTGAAGACAAGTTCATTTATTTTATCCGGTGGAAAAGAGCTGAACTCATGGACGTGAATGGAAATGTTCCCAGAGTGTTCGTTGTTCTTTGTCCCTTTTGGCACTCCAGCCAGAGTGCCCCCCCCCCTTTAAAAAACACCAGATATCTTTTTATTTAGTTTTTTTCTTTTTCCAGATTTAGGATTGTATGACATGTTCAAGTACAAAAAAAAAAAAAAAACAATAAAATCACAAAGTTTATTTTAAATGTGTTTGTCCTTGTGTTCCTTGGTGCTGCATAAGTGTGTGTTCGCGTCACCGGTTTAATCTGCGAGCACGTTGGGGTACAGTACTGGTATGGCGGGACACCGGTACGTGAATTTTCGAAAAATGAATTACATAAGATTAAAAACAAGTTTGATATGACCTCTATAAAAGGCTGTGAAAAATCACAATATTCGGCCGAGAGCACGATCCAAATTTTCACTTTGATACCTTCAACAGGTTGGATGCATTACTGTACATTAAAATATAAATTAAAAAAAAATATTGGCTCAGTAAGTTTAACAACATCTTGTCCTATAGATGTCTTCGTACCATGACTGTTAGATTGCGTGTGAAATTTGGGAGTTTTTTTTTTTTTTTTTTTTTTTTTTTTTTAATAAAGGCGCCATTTTGATGATCGACTGGTTAGCACGTTCACAGTGCAGAGGTTTAGGATTCGATTCCGGAACCGGCCTTCCTGTGGAGTTTTCATGTTCTCCCCATGCCTGGGTGGATTTTCTCTGGGTACTCCGATTTCCTCCCACATTCTAAAAACATGCATGGCAGGTTAATTGAACACTCTGAATCGTGCATAGGTCTGAGTGTGAGCGATCACCCTCCCGCCTCGTTCTTAAATTATTGATTAAATGTAAAATATAAAATAATAAAAATAAACATGATTTACATCATTTTAACTTGGCCTTTCTCTCCGTTTACATTTTTGGAATGCGTTTACGTCACGCACCGGCTTATGTTGTAGGTTTCCCTTAAATGTCCCGTGGAGCCTTTTTCGTCACATCCGGTTAACTGTCATTTCCGGATGCGGCAAACCTGGCAAAACACAAGACGGGCACGAACGAAAGAACATGGATTAAAAATACGAATTCCGTGACAAGAGGAGACGCCGGCATTGCGTGGCCATCCACCAAGATACATTTGACACGCTTTGGAAACCGCGTTCCCGCCTCGTTTTGCCTTGTTTTGTCTCCTCGGGAACATTTTGTGTTTGTTTGCTTTCCACCGGTTAAACCGTCGTCTTTCTTGCTCTGATCTCGGTTAGCATTAGCTGGCACGAGGACAACAAATCAGCATTATCTGGGGCTCCATTGTGACGTCATCGGCACGGGATCCAAACCCCTTTGGTTGCTTTCTTTTTCCATACTTGTCACATTTCTACTTGACTTCTGGAATCCTCCCCCACGTTTGTCTCTCGACAAAATGGATAAGAGCAGCAGGACTCGAGTCCAAATTATGTGGTGAATAATTATTTCCACGTAGGAACTGCTTCGATTCTTGAAAGGAGACGTCTTTTGTTTCAGAGTCATTATTCAATGTTAGCTCATGCGAAGAGACTCCGCCGAACAGGTAAATCCGCATTTCTGCCGATTTGCATGTGAATACATACAGGTAGTAAGTAGTAAACCGCCGTTATTCATAAAACACTCAACGTGGTACAAATACTTAGTGACTGTACGAAGTAGATTTTTTTTTTTTAGCCCATCTGTACTCGAGCGTGTATTTTTCTCATGATTTGTTACGTTTAATCAACTTGTTTGACTAAAACACGTCATTGAGTGACAGTGGCGGGAAGCACCCACGTATGACCGCTTCGTTACACTACTTAAGAACATATTTGAGCTCTCTCTCTATTTTGCCTGCGGATTTATTTTTCCTGACTTTATACTTAAACTCTCCACATTTCATTCATAATACTCTTACATAATACATTACCCCACAGGTGTCAAAGTCAAGGCCCGGGGGCCAGACTGGCCCGCCACATCATTTGATGTGGCCCGCGAAAGCAAATCGAGCATGTCAAGTTTGATGATGCTGAACCAAATTTTCAAATTGTCATATGTAATTCAGAATAACAGTCATTATTCTTGACTTCTGATTTTAAAATTAGCTGTGTGTCAATTCGTTGTGTGCTGTGTATGTAATATGTGGAGGTGATTAAACATTTATATGGTTTCCCAAAATTCAGAACGGCCCTCCAAGGGAAACCGTAACTACAATGTGGCCCGCGACAAAAATGAGCTTGACACCCCTACCATCCCCTGTAGGTGTCCCGATAAACTGGCTGATATTATTAACTATTGAAATTGGAAAAACAAAATTCAACAGATTGTATATATATTTTTTTTCCTTTTTTTAAACATTTTAAAAATATTACAGCATAACACAAAAATAAAGAATATTCAAACAAAAAACAGCAAATAAAAATAAGCTAATTTTTTTTCTCTCTCTCTGTTGTAAAGTTAAATAAATCCCGTAAATATTCAACGCTAGTTAACAGTTTGACTTTTGAAACGTGAAGTTGATGTGTTCCAATGATGCGTCCCCGCAGTGAAGGATGAATGGCCTGTCCGTCAGCGAACTCTGCGGCCTCTTCTGCTGCCCGCCGTGCCCCAGCCGCATCGCCGCCAAGCTGGCCTTCCTGCCGCCGGAACCCACGTACGCCTTCATCCCCGATCCGGAGCCGAGCTCCGGCGCGTCGGGGGCCAGCACGACGTCGAGCCTGCGCACGCGTGGCGTCGTCGCCGGGAGTGCGGCGCCGCCCACGTCGGAGACGAGATGGAGGCTTCACCTGACGGAGCGCGCCGAGTTCCAGTACACACAGCGGGAGCTCGACACCGTGGAGGTCACGTTGGCGCGTTCCAGCCGAGGGAATAAAATCGGTTGCGTGTACATCCGCTGTGTTCCAAATTCCAGGTGCGGGAAACCAAAACTTTTTTTGGAGCCGTTTTCATGACGGTCTGACTGCTTAATCATCTGGTTGACCCGAATCGGCAGATATTAGCTATTGGAAGGGAAAAAAAAGAAGAAAAAGAAATATCAGACCATTTAAAAAAAAAAAAAAATCATCAGACTAATGGCATTCAAAAAGCAAATGTTTTTTGCAGATTTTTCTCTTTGTTGTAAGTTAAGCAAACGAGGAAAAAATATATATTTAATGAAAATTAA